TTAATAGGCGAATATGTAAATCGGAATTGTCAACGGAAGTCAGTTATACCAAAGTTGGAATTGCAAGATGTATTTGATTCGTTTATATCCATTGGATTTGAATCAACTACGGACCAATAGTATAAATAAATTAAAATATTATATAATGAACTATAAAAAACTGTGATGTATTTCATGAACAAAATGAATTGAAAATAATTTTGTAGAACTTCGAACCTATGGCTGTATTAAACACTACAAACTAACCTCATTAATGAATAATTGGATACAATGTAAATTTTAACTATATACGAGCATTTATTTTTAAAACAAAATGGATTTTATTGGATGGGAGATGGGTGGATTGGCATTTGATCCAATTATAAACGGATTGAATTCGGATCACTTCGATGAAATCGAGTTCAAATTTGGACAAAGCATTTTGCAGGGAATGAGTCCGGACATTCTGCCAACAAAACACATTCCAATACCTTGTCAACATGATCAGGCACCACACATCTTGTATATGGCAAGGTCTCACTCTTATGGTGGGTCCCAGTCTTTTATTGGCAGGAGATCTATAAGAGGACGTTACTACATAACAGCAGAGTTATAAATCTAACATTTACAATTTCCAAGATTTCCATCTTATTTGACTACAAGTTGGTGTTGGATCTTTTCATTAAAATACAAGGTGACTATTGTTTTAGTTCTTGGGCACAAAGAAAAAGCTTCCTCCTTTGATGACTCTTTAGTAGCAAGTTCGGAATTGGATGAAAAATGTCGCAGCTAAAGCGCGGCTATCACCTAAGTTATTACATTCAAAACCAGATCGGACCAAACCAGGATTGATCGATTCCATTTCACCCCAAAACTGTTTTTTAGCTAAAATCATTGATTTGATCAGTGAATTGCTGATCCGGGTGGTCGAACCATCGATCCGAACGACGGTTTTTGGCCATTTTTTGTTTTGTTTTGTTTTGCTTTTATTTTTTATTTTTCTGTTAGAGCAGGTTAGACCGTTCGACCTAGGAACTGAACTCTAGAATAATTCCTTGTTTGGTCCAGTTTTAAATACCTTAAGAAAACAATTTTAGGGTGTGATATGCACAAGCACACCATAAATGTTATTGTTTTTATTTACTTTTTGAAATTGCAACATTACCAAACGACAAATTTTGTATAAACAAAACAATGCTTTAGGGATCAGCTGTAGTGCCCCCCACCGCCGATGCCGTCCGTGCATTGGGAATATCTCCCCATCACAAGCACAGATGTTCCCAGTGCACGGAGGGGATGGGCAGGGGGCGTGCGCTGTGGGCGATCCGATCACCTTAAGAAACCATCAAAATAATGGCCTTTAAAAGAAACAAAATGTTTCGGTATGAAAGGTATATGATTTATTACACATGATATTAAATTACTATACGAAAACATGTTCTTTAAACCAAAAATTTAGGCAGCATTGGGTAGAAAAGCATATGCAAAATCAAGATGAATTTATACTCCCCTCCAATTCAGTTTCACGTTCTTTGGTTATGTGCCATAGGGGCTTGGCTTGACAAAAAGTGTGTAAGACTTGAGTTCAGACTCGAAATCTGGATGCAAAAGCTCATATGTTTGAGCTCAGCATGGTTCAAAGTGGATAGTGAGCCAAGCTTTATATGAAAAATTAAAAATTATACATATAAAAATATATTTTTTATTCTTTGTAAAAATTTAAAATATTAAATATAAACTTGATTAGACTCACAAGCTAAGCTTCATATTATTTGAGCTCAGCTAGATTAGCAACAACCAAGATGTAGCAAAACTTTATTGATCCCTTGGGTGTGACCGAAACATTCAAAATGGAGACCGGGTCTTGGGAGCAGTTGGGCATTTGAAGCAAGCTCTTTCCAAAATTTAAACATCTCCTATCAGAACTCCAACCCGCTTTACTGAGCAACTCAAAGAACCAGTCTGCCTTCAAGAGTAGAGCGTCTGGAATTTCAAGAGTAGAGAGCATCTGTTATCTCCTCCGAACTCCATTTTAGAGTCCCCTGTTATGTTTTGCAGACTGCGGAAAGAAATTGCAACTAATAGACTGCAGAGAGAAGCTCATGAATATGAAGTCAAAAATGGGAAACCTACCTACAAGGCTTCCTTACACGGATTCAGTTATTGGGTATTCAAACACCCCATCTTTCAAAGATAGCTTCTTCTAAACTCCAATGAAGGTCTCCAAGTACACAAAAGCCTCTGTAGTCTGTGGCTATGTGAAGAAAAGGAAGAAGACTTCTTCTCTGTGTTGCAGGCTGCATAGAATAACAATAAGAGGAGGTTGTGCCTGAATGGTAAGGTCTCTGGTGTTTCCACACCCTTACTGACCGGAAGAAAACGGACCACCACCAATAACACTATGCCATCTGAAACCCGAACTAGTGCCTAGCGCCTGAATGGTAACGTCTCTGGTGCAGAGGTAAACCCTCTATTCCTCCTCCATCCTCATCCAGGGCCCTCTATTCCTCCTCCATCATTGCCCAGGAAAATGCAATGGCATGGACTCCGGCTTCTTCATCTCTCTCCGTCCCCTTCTCTCCATCTCTATGACGTGTGTTTCCTCTCCCAGTGCAGCTTCGCTTACATCCTTGTAAGCCACTGGGAAGCAGCTTTCGGGAGCGAGGTGGTGCTCAGAAGAGACGGTCAAGGCAGGCAGCTGCTGCGGTGACGAAACGAGTTGCGGAGAGAGAGGCCGGAGGTGGAGGGATCCACTTTGCAGTGGTGGTGATGAAACAGGAGAGAGAATGAAGGGGAAGAAGGAGAAAGAGGAAGAGAAAGAGAATGAAGGGTAAAAATTGGGTTTTAAAAAATATATGCCACGTGATGTCACGTGTGTACGGAACTTGACGGATGATAATGGTAAAAGTAGAACTAGTCAATTATCAGAAACAGTAGGAAGACTTTAAGACGATACAAAAACAGTAGGGGTATAGTTAGTCAATTTCCTAAACCTTAGGGGTAGTTTGAAAACTTTGCCAAAAAAAATATAGGAATTTTTAGGAACCAACCCCATTAGATCTCAGATAGCATACATTTTCCAAGGAAAGGTACCCCTCTACCTGCAAATGGAAAAGGAGACAAGGAAGTAAAAGAACGAGAATATCAATCTATTGGTTTAAATAAATAGTGCAAAATATTGTCATAAAAAAGCATCAACAACTGACTTCATGAGAAGCAGCCCAGGATGGTCTTGGACAAGGGAACCATGTCCATGGAGGGAGTACATGGTTCATATGTTTCCATTTCTGAGATAGAGCCCTTGCAGCAAAATAAAATTCGCTCAATCTGAGAGTTCCATCCCATGATGAAGCACTATCCATTGTTTGCTTGATTTGAAACTGTTACATTGGACATG